AAATGGCTCAGCTATATGCTTCCATCTGCTACCTATTGCCAACAGATTCATAAGCCGCCTCTATTGGCCTGCGTGGTAATAGTGTTTTAAATCAATAAACTTGAGAGTTTAATGAATAACAGGCTCAGACTGAGCTTAGAAGGCACTATTTATCAAAAAAGATATTAGTTAATATAGTGCTTTTAAATTAATATTTTCCAAAAATTTATTGTCTTCAAAACTTCATTTAAAATAAAACTACCTATGCCTTCAGCTGATTAATAAAATAGCTATACAAGGTGTAAAGGTTTACATAAGCCTAATACAGATCGACCTCTACTTTGTATTCGCCTTCTGCAGAATACATCTCCACCCTATTAAACTCTTTTGGGAATGTGCGATCCAAATTATTGGTGACATCTTCATTATTAACAACAACCTTAGTGATTGTGCAGCCATGTTCGCCTTCAAAGCCAGCAACAAAGCTACGAATGTTTTCAGTAGAAGAAACTCTACGTATCGTGCTTATGTCATCCCATAAAGTAGGCATACCTCCAAAAATTTCTCTCATCATTGTTCCTATGTAGATGGTGTGTGTTATTGATAGGTGTAAGTGAATTTGTAAAATAGGATGAAGTATCAAGTGAATGGCTGTGCAGATTGCTGATAAAAAGCAAGGCAGATGAAGCTCTTTAAATACTGTTTGAAAATGGGCAAAGGCAGCCAAATTAATATACACATATATTGGTTAATAAGTTTTGCAAAGGACAAAGTCTTGCTGAAATATATTTTTTAATTTAACAGTCAAATACAATGCTTGTCCAGTAAATTAATTAATATGACTGGTAATAGGCAGCAAAATCAATAAGCACTGCTTGTTAGCTGCACTTTCTCAATGCTTCACAGCTTTTTGAGTTCAAGCCGCCATACTCTTTGATACTGCTTGTGACAGATACCAATATATCTAAGCATTCTGGAAAAACCTAACTCAAGAAAGCCGAGGAAACCGGGCCGATTCTCAAAAATATTTTAATTGTAAGTGGATTACGGTTATTTTTAATTTCAACGGATTGTAATCAAGAAACCACATGCATTACATGTCGGCCTTTTGGCTATTGCCATTAGTTGAGTTATAAGTGATACATAAGAGGTGCAAATGAGGTAAAAATGTCAGTTTGGCCGAGTGGTCTAAGGCGCCAGACTTGAAACTATATAAAAGTTATCTGGTGGGATTTTCCCGCGTAGGTTCAAATCCTGCAGCTGACGCATTTTTGGAGTTTTTTTGGGAGCTGGCAGTAGTACGCCATCTTTTTTTTTTGGCTAAATTTTAACCGAGCATTCTGTGAATAGAAATTACATTGATTTACATGCAAAGTGGAAACATGCACAAATAGAAAGAGAATTACTGGAGGTTGTGCTTCTTGATGTAGCGGTAATCTCTGACGACCTTGAAGGCGCCAAAGATGGCAATGACGACCCAGACCAGCATGAGGGCAATCATGGTGGGGATGTTGCCCTTGAGGTCGCTCACGTACATGTCGCACAGCTTGCCGACGAGGCCGCCAGTGTAGCCGTTAAAGTCCTGGGCGTCTTCGACGTCTTCGCGCGACAGGTCGGAGGTTTCAACGTCGCTTTCGGTGCCCAGCACCGAATCGATCTCGCTGATAAAGTACAGGCTCGACGACTCGTCCTCCAGGTCGCCGAGCTCGCCCTCGGGCTGGTATGCGACGCCGAGCGACGGAATGAGGTTGACCAGCTCAAAGTTGCCCTGCGTTGTCGGGGACTCGGCCTCCTGGCGTCTGTTCAGCTGCTGCTCACCGGATTCGACGGTCTCGGAGGGGTCAACGGGCTCGCTGGCCTCGAGCAGCGACGACTCGCTATTTTCACTCAACTCGCCGTCACCGCTCGACTCGTCGTCCAGGTCGCTGAGCTCGTTTGAGTTGAGGGACGAGAGCTTGTCGTTGTACGCAGACATGATGCTGTCGAGGTCGACCTGCGGCTGGAAGCTCATCGGGTCGAGCTCGTCGGCGTTAGGAATGTACACGCCAACAGCCAGCTCGCGCAGCGCCTGGGCCGTGGAGTTGAGCGGCTTGGTGAGGGCGGCAACGGGCGTGTACAGGACACGCGCACTGACACGGGGCAGATTGATGTCGTCGGTGAAGTTGTGGACCATGGTGAGGATCTTCTGGATCGACTGGATGTTCTTTGTAAGCGTGCAGTTGACCAGACCCTCGATTGGATCCTGCAGCGGCGTGCCGCCGAACACGTCGCGGATGCCGCCAATGTACTGATCGACAAAGTTGTTGAGCGTGTCGTTGATGTTCTCCATGCCGTTGTTGAGCGGGCCAAACAGCGTGTCGGTGAGCGAGTTTTCGGCGTCCTCGACGTGCGCGTTGATGTTGTGGGCAATGTCGATGGCGTCTTGGCGCGCGTTGCCCAGGATGCCCGTGTTGATGGCGTCCTGCTGGAACGTGTTTAGCTCCTGGGCCAACTTGGGGATGAAGTCGCGGCGCATGGCCTCGATGGCCTGGATCTGGACGATAATCGACGCGAGCCCAAAGGCGCCGGCAATGAAGCACGCAATGGCCGGCGGATGCCACACGTAGTGCAGCCACCAGCGCCACGCGGCGGTGCGCTCGGAGTCGCCAAACTTGCGCGTCACAAGGTTGGTAAAGCGCTGCAGCATGGGCTGGCCCGGCAGCACGAACAGGTCCATTTCCTTGCGCGTCGGCGGCTTCTCCATGAGCTCGCGCTTGGTGGCCGGCGCGCGGTAGTCGACTAGCTCCTGGCGGAAGTCCGTCAGGCGGCGGCGGAAGCGCGAGTCCTCGCGGATTGCCCACAGCGCCTTGAACAGCACAATTCCGATGGCGGCGCCGATGACCACGAGCCCGCAGATGTGCATGATCTTGGCGGCCGACGAGCCCAGATCGGTGATCGTGTCCTGGCCCATCGGATGCGTGCACACGTCGGCCTGCCGGTCCGTGGAAATGTCGAGCTTGTCCTCGATGTCCACGTGCACGCCGTCGAACGCGTTGGTGACCAGGCTGCGCAGCATGCCGAACGGGATGTCGATGACCTGCGTGAAGTTGCCGAAGATCTCGTCGGACGTCGGGATCTTGTCGGCAATGTTGCTGATGCTGTCGGTCCAGTCTGAGGGAATCGAGATGTTGAGCTTCTGCTTGATGCTGTCGGTGTCGATGTTGACCGGGTTGCTGTTGCTGCCGCCGGTGAAGAAGTTGGCCACGCTGTTGGCGGCGTTCTGCACGCCGCTGGCAACCTGAGAGGCGACGTTCTGCAGGTCGCCGACCACGCTGTTGACGGCGGTCTCGAGCTCGTCGGTGATGAGCTTGCCGGCCTCGCTGATCATGGTCAATGTGGTCTTGACGATCAGCGTGGCAAAGCAGATGAACGTGCCGACGTACAGCTTGAGCACCCAGACGATTAGATCGCGCAGCATGGTGATGATGCGGTTGAGCGTGTTGCCCAGCGTGGTGATTGCGTTGTCGGCGGCGGTCTCGACCATGTGCACGGTGGCCAGTGCCGCGGTGGCCGGCGCGTTGACAATTGCGTTGGCTGCCGTGCCGACCGCCGAGCACCCGGTGTTCAGCGTCAGCGCGGCCTCGGTGGCAATCCGCTGGGCGCTGCTGGCCATCATGATGTGGCCGATGCCCATGAACACCAGCATGATGACGGTCTGGCTGGCCCACGACCGCGAGATCATGCCCCACTTGCCAACATACGGCGAAATCATCTCCTGCATGCGCCGCCGCGGCCGGAATCCCTTTTCGTTCATGGGCGGCGGGCCTCTGTAGTTGTCTGGCGGGTCCCGGCGGTTGGGCGGCGGCGGGCCTCTGTAGTTGTTTGGTGGGCCTCGGTGGTTAGGCGGCGGGCCTCGGTGGTTTGGCGGCGGGCCTCTGTGGTTTGGCGGTGGACCCCTGTGATCACGTGGAGGCGGTCCGCGCATATGTGGCGGGGGCGGGCCCCTGTGGCCAGGCGGTGGGCCTCTGCGATCGGGCGGGGGTCCCCTGCGGTCAGGCGACGGTCCTCTCTGATTAGGCGGCGGCGGACCTCTCTGATTAGGCGGCGGCGGACCTCTCTGATTAGGCGGCGGCGGGCCTCTCTGATTAGGCGGCGGGCGGCGCTCTTTCTGAGAGGGCAGCGGCGGGGCCATCTCTGGGCTGGGCCGCTTAGCGTCGTCGTTGTTATAAAACGTAAGCCTGGGGTGCTTTACCGCGGGCTCAGCCATTTCGGGGTCCTTTGTGAGAATGGGCACCATCAACTGGTCTTCGTCTTTGGGCGGCCACACGCCGGTGCCAATAGCGGGCGGGCGCTTGGGCATGATCATTTCGTCTTCGTCGTCCATGCGCAAGTACGTGTCGCGGGGCGGGGCCACGGGCTTGGCGCTGAAGGGCGGCGGGGGCGACGACGGGGACAAGTTATCGAGCTTTTCGTGCTTGCTGGGCTCGCCGGCCGGCGGCGATGGTTTGGGCGGTCCGAGGTTGAGACTGTGCAGGTCGGTGTATTTCTCGTTGTTCACGTAGCTCGAGCGGTCGTCAATGGTGCTTTCCAGGTCATCGTCGTTGTCGTCGTGCTTCTTGTCGGGCGGATACTCGTCCTTTCCGAAAAACTGCTTATAGAAATTCTCCATCCCTCCCATCTTCTAAAACTAAAATAAATTATGTAGCAAGAAGAGGAAGAAAAGTCTTCTACCATGCCCGGGAAACTCCACACTTGGACCCAG